AATATCTATGTTCTTAGAGTATACTTAATTTTTTAGTTAATATACAGGGTGATTCACAACTTATCCAAAAAAATTTGGGAATAGATGCGGCATGAGAAATGGAGTCAATATTGTGAAAAAAAATTTTGTAAAATCCTTATAGTTTCTGAGAAAAAAATTATTGAAGTTATAGCACATTAAACCACTACTTAGCTGAACAACTGTAGTCTCTGGCATCATTCGCCACGTAGCCTCATCGACTCCGAATACTGAATTCGGATTTTGCAATCGTTGTTGCGATATTTACCTGTTATCTGTGGTTTTTATAATACGTTTTTAGTAGTTGGTGTCAAAAATGGGTAGTTATATTCACTATTTATACTCAAAACTTAGTGCAGCAACGTTTTAAATGCTTTTCCAGTTTTTGACTTTTCTGCTGTTGCATTCAGTGTAAAAGACAACTTTTCGGTTGGTTGTCTCTGATTACACAGCCCCACAAAAAAAAAGTGGCAGGTCCGAAAGACAAGACCATGGTATCCATGTGGTTTTGGGGTCGCTGAATCCGAATCCGGTGTCCGTTTGACACGATTAGCTCTGGTTTAAGGTCAGTTCAAGGTCAAATGTAGAAAATCAATTGTCAAACATGAGAAGTTACTCGTAAATATAGTTTTCATATTCATTGCCCCAGAATCTTCATGACGATGACAGTGGTTTGTGGTTAAATTTTTGCAACTGGATAAATGAAAACAATTTACAAATACATTTACTTTATTGATGACGCTCAATTCACTTGTGATGCATGGAACTGTTCCAATGAATTTCAGATGTCAGAAGAAAATCTGCGTTGAAAAGTAACTTTTGGCATCGATTCGGTATTAACGCGTAGTGTGGTATGATTAATATCACAGGCACACAAATAAAAAAAGTGAGTTGACCTGGAGACCGCACTAGGCTATCAATATGTATTTTGACACGCTGATGTAAATCCGTGGTTAGTTTCATACCAGCATCCACAGGTTTGGAGTAAGTCGCTGAAAGTCATGGAAAAACCGACTAATGGGCATTAGCAATGTTTTGAAAGAAAATATTTGGAGTAGATAAAGCTTAATCTTATGAATATTAATGCTCCGTACGGTAGTTCGTCTTCTTAGCCCCTCTTAATAGAGTTATTTGGGAAAATTTGAAAAAAAATACGAGAAATTGTTATTAGAAAACTACATCTACAGGGTGTCTGGTAAGTATATGATAAGTATATGGCATACTCTCCGAAGTGTATAGGAGAGGTCAAAATAACCCTGGCTTGTCATTTTATAAAGCTGAAAACTGAATTTTTAAATACTGTGGTCATTCCTATTCATAAAAGATACTCTACATTTGTTTTGATAAAATTAGCCGCTTTCGAAAAAAATCAGTTTTTGTATAACACTGATACAAGCTACATCATTTTCACGTACATGCCATGTCTCCCGCTGATTACCCTGCAAGAGTCAATTACAAAAATTGGTTTTTGCAATGATTTAGGCAACATACAAATTTTACTAGTATTATTTTGTTCACGAACGAAGCCGGTTTCACCCGAGACGGACTAATAAATTACCATAATTTGCATATCTGGCAGGAAGAAATTCCCCATGCAATAGTACAGACAAAGCACTAACAAAGATGGTTAACCTATGGGCGGAGATTATTGGGAATCATCTCATTGCACCGTTTTTTTTAAGACATATGCCATATACATATGGTGCCATGTATTTGCAATTCTTGCAACAGAGCTTAAACGGTTTATTAGAAAATGTACCCTTAGAAATTAGAAACCAGATGTGGTTTATGCATGATGGTGCACCACCCCATTTTAGCAATTTAGTTCGTCAGTACTTATCAAATACTTTTGGTAATCAATGGGTAGATCGAAGTGGGCCTGTTTTATGGTCACCGAGGTCACCCAACATCACTCCATTGGATTTTTTTTGGGGAAATTTAAAGAGCCTTGTGTACTCAACGCCAGTTCACACTAGGGAAAACCTGATAAAAATAATAACACACCATTGCAACGAAATTCGATACAATTTTGGAAATTTGTTTCAAGTTCAAAGAGAAAATATCCGGCGGATAAGGAAATGTATAGCCCATTTCGTAAACAAGAAGAAGCAAATTTTGAATTTTTAACATCCTTGCATTTAAGTAATTTGGAAATGTATCAGAATAAATTCTTCTTGCCTCCACACAATTGCCGAGTGCTTGTCCATAAGTTATATGCATGTCAGCATTAATGAGATGTAATAATAATAATAATAATAATGACAAATTTTATTATTTTAATACGAAGTATTAATTATGATTATTATTCGATTAGTTATTATGTTTAAATGTTAATAATTAAATAAATGTTTAAACGTGATACAAAAACTTAAATTCTTCGAAAACGGTTAAGTTTATGGAAACAAAGGTAGAGTACATTTTTTAAAGAGGAATGACGAAGGTATTTAAAAATGCAGTTTTCAGCTTTATAAAATGACACCTGTCAAAATTTTGCCCAACGAGTGTGGTGGCAAGTCCGTTCCTGACTTCCCTGATAGTGTAAAACATCTACTGTCGCATAGTTTTATAAGCCTTTATGGCCTCCATAGAAGATTACAATTTCATGAAATTATACACATCGGTTCAAAAGTTAGAACCGAAAAGGTAAATGGTTGGGTACCTCTTTGGGGCTCTGTATCTCCTGTAAGGGGCACTTTTGGATTTTTTTATGACAAACTAGGGTTATTTTCACCTCCCCTATACACTCTCGAGAGTATGTTATATACTTACCCTGTATAAATTTATTTGGATCAGTTCAAGTCTTATTCCTATTAGCCCAGTTACTGTAGCTGATAATATAGTAATACCTCCGAATCTTTTATAACTGCATCGACTTTTCTCAAAATTTAGAATTAGGCTCATCTTACCCCCACTTCAAAAGTGCGCTAGATGTGCTTTTTGTTCTTAAGGGGTGAAAACCACCCCTTATTGGAAAAAAGGGAAAAATATAAATTTAAGCATTTTATGTAATCAAATCTTTTTTATTTATGCAGTATGAGTAATTTCATGTGTTATCTAACATGAAACTTAATGTATTCCAGATTTTCAACCCGGAAAAACCTTTAAAAACCACCCCTTTGGATAAAAATAATATAACATTTTTTTTCTTCTTGAAACGTTTTAATCATGCATTTTTATCAAATTAAAAATGATTTGATTAAAAATCTTTTTTATCGATTGCAACTTTTCAACCGTAGAAAAATACCCCTTCTTTCGAAAATAAAATTAAAAAATCCCTTAAAAATTACCGCTTACATTTATAAATTTTTACTTTCCTTTTTAATAATAATAAATACAAAAAAAAACATTATAATTATATGTAAATGATTATTCGTCGTCACTGCTATTCTCTTATTATTATTATGTGTGTGATGTGTGTGCGTGTGTGTATTATAATATAGTACTGGTTTATATACAAATGGTTAAATATACACATACTAAATACGTATATATACAAAAAAAGGTATAAATGCTTCAAAATTCTTGACCTAAATTTTCCTAAAATTATCACCCATTACACGTGTTTATTTTTTTGACGATAACTTTCTTACTTTTTAAGATTTTTAATCGCACAAAGGCTCATTTTGCAGTGAATTGTAAGGGCTACGTGAACTGTTGAGTTGATCTTTTTTAAGCCCTTCATTTTTAAGTTTGAAGGGTTTAAAGGGCTCGAAAAGGGTGGTTCTCTCATTCATATGATAACTTAAAATGGAGATATCTCGATTAATATTAATTTTAGAGGAATAAAAAATAAAGCAAAATCTTCAGCAAAAATAGAGCTAAATTTTTTCGTACACCCTTTAATTTTAAAAGTTACAGCATAAAAATCGAATTTTTTTCAAAAATTTGAAAAATTTATATTTTCAAAAATTAAGTTTTTTTTCGAAATCATGCTTTGTAAGTGAGCCAAAGACCCAGAACATATTTGTAAATGGATTGCATTTAATTTTAATTCTGTCGCCAAAGGCAACTGATTTGTTTATTAACTTTTTTATAAAAAAAAATGAAACTATCATGTTATTTCGATGATATTTACGTTAATTTTGATTCTAAAGACTTTTAAAACAGCTCATTTTAAAGGTTTTTCAAAGTACTTTCAAAAAAGGTTCAAATAGTTTTTTTCCTAATATTTATGGCTTTGGCGTTATTTAACGTTAACTGGTTCCAATTTAGTTTTTAGCTAACATATAATAATGTTTAAAAATCCATAACTCGGTTTATATTGCAATTAGAGAAAAATAAAATAATGCCATTAAATTTGTTTTTTTATTACCTTCGTTTTTGTTCATTACAACTTTTTCGTTAAATCCAATGGTTTCAGAGTTATTTGCAAAAAACTGTTCGAAAAAAAGGACTTTTACAGTAAAAAAGCAACATTTTCAATGGCGAATTATACGGAAAGTATTGGATTATCCAAAAAAACTTATATAACATTTGTTACTTAAAATTGACTCCTCTATCGATTCATGTGGTTATTTTGGGCGTAAAAATTTCCACCCCCAAGAAGGGGTGGGAATCACTCCCGGGGCAAAAGCACACTTCGGCACTATATAAGTTTTGTTCCTTGAGGCATTCCCCATATTCAGTCAAAATTTCACGTCAATCGGTTCAGTTATAAAAAATTCAGAGGTAAAAACCCTGAGTAACTGGACTATATGTATTTTAACACACTGAACACGAATCTGATACTGATTAAGTTTGCAAGCTTTTCCTACATAAGTTTCTAAAAAGAAAGTTGGATCTAATAATATTCTGTAATTTTGAATGGAAAAATTCAAACTCCAAAATATTTCTCACGTTTATAAAGTACCACTGCATTTAGTTTCTCTATTTTCATTTTGAATTTATGTCATTATTGTATGAAATTCTATCGTCGAAAACGGCTCGAACATGTTACAATTTTCCTCATTATTTGCTATGGTATATTTTGTAAATATATTTACCCTTTTCGACATTTTTCCTACTTTTAACATTTTTCCAATATCTATACGTTACACTTTTTATGTGTGCAGTCTGAGACTATAATCGGCTTTTTTTCTGTTTAAATAAGTTTGTTTGCAGTGAGTTACGAGGTGGCTATCACGGAACGATGCCGACTGCCACCTGTAGCACTCAGCGTAGCCGTTTGCGTCGATTCTATTCCTAACCAACCTAAGGTTTCCCCCAATATTTCCGCAAGTTCCGCCGTGCTAGCTCCAGCAACACGACGCGCCGAAAATATCCTTCTCCATTCGAAAGCAATTTCGGCGGGCAAATTAAGAGAAAAGTGAACTTGAAAGGAATATTTTTGTTTGCCGTATATATTTATTTGTCCCATAAACCTGATTTAATAGCCGGTTTTAAAATGTATGGAATGCTGTTGGAGAGTGTCCAATATTTTGTCCAGGTGAGCTATATATTTTTAATTAGCAACTTAAAAAACGGTCAAGTAATTGTAAACTTTCTTCAAGTAGTTTATCGTAATTTTTCAACATATTCAGTACAAAAAATATGTATGAAATAAATTCACTGTTTCTTAAATTAAGCAGTTTCACGAAATTTCATAGAATACGTCGATTTTGCAATTTAAAAAGACATTTTTTGATATACATCCCCTTTTACATTTAATATCTTTTGGGAATCATCAGAATTATAACTCGTTTTAGGTCAGACTCTAGTAAAACATAACTTTTTGAATTCAGTAACATAAGTACAGTTATTGTACTTTACATTTCAGTGATAAAAAATAAAGAGTAGTGGCTTGTAGCAATATTTGAATTCTGGTTAATATTGGTATAACTGCTATCCGTAGTAAAACAAGGTTAATAACTCCAGAAGTATTGGTTAAAGTATATCGAGAAACATTCAAAAGGTTTACCTACTTAGTGCGTGGATGAAAATAGTTATAATTCTAACAATTGATCATAAAGAAATGTAAGTTAAATGTTTGTTTGATAGAGCCAAATGATTTCCTCAAAAGATGAAATTTTTAATAATGAATTGAAATTCATAAAAATGTACTAACAAATAAATTAATATCCTGAGAATTTTGTTGAAACAGTCTTTAGAAATATTGAAAAGAAAACAAATTATGTTAGGCAACAAAGAGAAATTACATTCGCAATAATGATTCCATATATTCCTGTACTATTGGAAAAATTAAGGTAACAATAGGTAATATCAGAACATTTTTTCAACTAATACTTTACGGGCTTACTGTCAACGACATACCCAAATAATTATTTTCAAAATTCAAGAAATTATAGCATACCTTGTGAATGCAATAATAAACATGTTGAAGACACTTCTCGCCTGTGAATATTAGAATAGATTAACACAAAAATCATATTTCGTGAATTTGAGAAATCTAAAATTTGCGACCACGCTTGGGAAAACGGTCATAATATTCAATGGTGTTTGGCTAAAATTTTTGAAGAAAAAAACAATGCCGCGAATGAAAATTAAAAGAGACCGCGGATTATTTTGTTGAATGGTGAAAGTGATGTGTGTCAAATTATTCTATGAATTTGAATCCTTGCTGGATACAGATTCTAAAAGATGAGGTATAAATAATAATAGAATAAAAATAAAAAATTATAATTAATTAGTTGACTTTATCAAATTGTTTCAAAAATAGACCTTTGTGTTGTGTTGATCATTCTAGCGAATCGCATAGATCGGTATTACGTTAAAATTAACCCAAATTATCACTTTTTCATTTTAATTTTTGGAAGTAAAATAAAGCACAATAATTTATTGTATATTGCCAAATTTACAAAGTTACGTTTTACAAGAATATAGCAAAAAGTATAGGAGCTCTATTAAAAACAACTCAACGAGAAAGAGGAGGATAAAAAACTGTTTTTGTAAAATACCAAATCGATGTCTTTCGGAAATTTCTTGAAATATTCGTTTCGGAATATATTCCATACTTTTTTTCGCACTGTATATCAACCTATATTTTTAGAACATGTATTGATTATTGAAAATCTGGTAAACATGATAAATGTATGCTAACTTTTAACGAAACGGAGTTACGATTTGAGAAATAAATAAAATTAGTCAAAAATAAATATCTAATCCGTGAGTTATTACCAATGCCAAGGAGTGTGTTCAATATTTTTGGTACGAAGCAAATATTTTGGAACAATATAACAAAATTATAAATAAAACATTTTTTGCAACTGTGTCATACATGGTTACCGCATTTACGTGCATGCGGTAAGTATCACTTTTCTGTACCATTACAGAAATGAGAATTTTTTAACCCTAGAATGCTAAGGAGATTCACTGTACATTGTTATAATTATTATGTATAGCAACCGAGTCGCTACACAAGTATTAGTCCTGTAGCCAGGGGGGTCCCAATTGCCTCCTTCATTTAGATGGAGTTACCCAAGTGTTTTTTGTGTATTTTGAGCTGCAGAACACGAGTTTTTTGGGTAGAAGTTTGCCCGGATGTCGATAAGTTTTTTATTAATAAAAAATTTGCAAAATACTGAGAACTCAGTTTTTGGCAAAATAAAATGTTATACAACTTTAAAAAATAATAATTATAAAAACACCTAAATTATAGTAAGTATAAACTTTTTTATTATTGTTCATAAATAAAACTAATATAATTTCGCTAATTTTTTTCATATTATTATCATTATATCTTTGATATTTAAAATTTTTCACGAATTTTTAATGCATTAATTAAATCAGATCTTTGCATTATTTGTCAAAAAAAAATAATTTTAATTATTGTAATATTGCAAATTTTCATTAAATTGTTAATGTTTCGTTCAGTTTTCATCGTTTCTTTGGTCTAGAAATGAAGAGTACGCGTCAAGATCGTGTATTAAACGGCTGTAAGAAGGCAACCGCTCTCTTACATACATGGCGGCGCCCCATTCTGAAGACTCAATCGCTATTTGTTTATAGCTTCAAACAACAGTGGAAAAAACAAATTTTCACACTGCAATTACTCATAATTTGTAGTATTTAACGTGACCTTTCAAACGCCGTCAGCAGAATTACAAAATACCTATTCAATCAAAAGTTATTAACGTTTGAAAATTGCAAAATTCGCATTTTTCGAGTTTTTAACGGCGTTTATCTCGAAAACTATGCGTTTTAACAAAAAAAATTGCAAGAGACATTTTCTTCTTAAAATGGGTCAAATAATAAGAAACTACTTTTTAATATTTTGCTAAAAACTAAGTTCTCAGTATTTTGCAAGTTTTTGTTAATAAAAAACTTATCGACATCCGGGCAAACTTCTACCCAAAAAATTCGTGTTCTGCAGCTCAAAATACAAAAAAAACACCTGGGTAACTCCATCTAAATGAAGGAAGCAATTGGGACCCCCCTGGCTACAGGACTATATGTATATAAAGTCAGAAATATTATATTTACATATTTAAATAATGTTTAAACATATAATGTTTGAACAAATTTAAATAATCTTTTACTGTCGGGTCTTATTGACAACTAGATAAAATGAACTATTTTCTTTTTAAATAATTATTGGGGCGCGATTGTTGCAGAAAGTTCGTATGTGATAAGCGCTACCAAATTTCAAAATTGAAATAAAAATTAATACATGAAGGTAGTTGTCCTGGAAATTTAAAAATTGAAAACTTTTTTCTTTATTTTAGATACATAGAATAAATAAAAAAAAAATAAAATAAACATATTATTATACCTGCGAAGTATTAGAGATTATTTTCAAATTGCCACAAACTTTCAGGGTGTTCAGATTTGATCTGAAACTTCTCTTTCAAATGTTAGTGTTTAGTACAATTTCGATTATTATTATTCTTCTATGTATACGAGTACAGCCTATGATGCTATGATTTATATGAGAGTGAATTTTTGTAGTCATATTGGGGATTTCTTATGGAGAATTTCACAACGTACTATAATTCAGTACACTCTCAAGTTATCAATCTATGGCTCTCCCTAATTTTTTTTTTTAATTTGAAATGTCACTATAAAATGGCTGTGAAAGGGCAATAACTTTTAAAACACGTACTTCATCATTTTCAAGTACCTACTTTCAAGGCTATATGTATATACCTACTAAATTTTTTATCGGAAACAAAATTTAACTCTAAATTTTAGTCTTTTTAAAAGAATTAATAAATGAAACTTTTGATGTGGGAGTTTTAAATACTATTACCCGAAAAATCACCCCTGAAAAAATCATAGCATATATTGATTTTTTCTTCATTTCAAATACGTTGGTACCTAAATGCTTTGAAGAAATAAGGCTTTTAAAAATTTTAAAAAATGTAAGATATAAGTATGTGAAGATTTAAGCAAATGCATAATTATTACAGCATTTATAAATAAAACATTATTTTCGTATCTACTTCCATTATTTTTTTACATTTTGAAATAAACTATGATTATCACGGAAGAATCCACCATTGAAACATTAGCAAATATTATAGTTACATCTTATAATTAAATCATCATTGAAATTAAGTTCATACGCTTTTCTTATACAATGTGTCCAATTAAGTCGGCACCATATGGGTTACTTTTTTATTATGGGTTTTATGAAAAAAAGTTATTCTTGATAAAAAGTTTTGCATGGCCTAAAACCCAAAATGATTTAATCAGATTTAAATTTTTTGCAGTCGTTTGTCGAAAAATGTAAACAGTAAAGTACCTTTATTTTTTAAAATATCGACAATCAGGTCAGGTATCTAATATTATCCATCTACCATTAAAAATAATCTTTAATAATTTTAGAGTATAAACATAGTAGGAAATAAATAAATAAGTTATAATTTAATTTTGCCATAGATCTAATATAGTATACTATGGATGGAATGTAAAGAGAGAGGGCAGGGGACAACATGTAAAGCGGGATGAAACTAGTCTAGGGTCACGTGAATTAGGGCATTTTCAGATTTATCACGGGTAATTTGTTATATCCATTACGTGGTATTAAGTGTTATTACGAATTTGACACATAAATTTGTCAGCATTCTTTTTATTGTCGTGTTACTATAAAAAAAATAATTTCCTAATCAGAAATAGAGTTGTTTTTTAAATCAATGTGGCGCGATTTTATCCTGGGTCACGTGACTTAAGGGCAAATCGCTGTCACTTTCACTGTTCATGTTGGAACAGCTAAAATGCGCAAAAAGTGGGCTTTGACTCCATTCATATACTAATCTATGAATTTTGCAAATCATAAAATATTTGTATTGAATTCATTGGTTTGTCAGTGCATCCTAGATTGAAAGTCAATCTCTAGATGTATCAATGCTAATACAGAGAAGAGTTTATAAAAATAACAAAATCTGTTTTTAATGGTAAATGGATAATATTTGATATTTGACCGTAATTTTCTATTAACATCAACTTTTCTTAACAACGATTGTCGATATTGTAAGAAATAAAGGTACT